TGATTGTGTTTGAACTGTAATTTACAGGCAGCAAAAAAAACCCTGTATTTTTTTAAACCCTTTTCTGAAAACATTTTATATCTCAAAGTTTTCATTTTTCACTGTAAACCGTTCATAGGGCTTTTACCAATTGTTACACTCCTAAAACTAACCAGTTGTATCCGGTCAAAGGTGGAGAAATAATATATAGCTTTTCACTGTATAAAATACTATAAAGAATATATTTTGAGAAAACAGTTATTAAATGGATCTAGTTCAGCTGCTCCCAATCCACTCATCGGGGGAAAAAAATCTTATTTTTTAAACCAGGTTTTTTTCCCCCTCACCTCTTTTTAGTATAGCAGATTTCATTACTGTGTGGCAGGACGATTCACCCATTTCTGGTCCAGAAATCCCTAAATTTACTTCTTACACCTGGACTGATGCTTAGGAGGTAGATTGTCATAATTGCACAGAAGGGACATCCTGACCCAGTCACATCTTGCATACCCTATGAAAGATACCTAGAAAAGTATCTACCTTACTTGAGGGGGGCCCCCAAGTAATTTTTCTCCCTCCTTTCCTACCAGCTGTTGACCTACAGGGTGTGGGGAAGACCAAAGCACCAGTGCCTTGGTGTGCAATGGAGATACCTGGGGACATGAGGGACTGTTCCCCACTGATGGCTCAGCCCTGTGGCTGGGGAGCAGGAAGGTGAAGGTGGGGAGGATCCTGACTCACAATCTAGAGCATGGGGGTGACCGAGGTGGGTCTTACCATGGAGGACAGTCTTACAGCCTCCAATTTTGGCTATGTTTGCCCAGGACAAAGGGTAATTGTCTTATACAAGCTGTTTAATCGTCTACTTATCTACAGCGTATTAGCACTATCTTTTGATTCCTTGGGAGGTTTCTCTTCATCAGCAGGGCTTTCAGCTCACTTATTTGAAGCCTGTTTTCTAAAACATTGCAAAGGTGCTTTGCAACAGTTCAAAGACCATCCGCTTTGACAGTTCAAAGACCATCCTCTTTGCTTTCAGCTGTTCCATGTTGTACTGTAGCTTCAAACTATGCAATGAATAACTTCACATTGAAATTTCTACATTAAATACTCTATTCAGTAAAGTGCAGGTTTTAAGTTCTAAAACATTAACATAAAGAAACAAAATTCACAATGATCTCTATGGGAATGCCACAAGTTAGGAAGATCAGATCTGCCACCTCGGAGTCCATTAGTTCCCTTCAATTCCCTTGCCTGTGGCTATGCTCGGAGCCAAAATCTTAGGAGAAAGAGTCAAAACTCTATCGTAAAGAGATGTCATCCTGCTATATACCATCTAGAAACTAGTCTAAGCTCTCAAGCCTCAGATTTAGCATCCCAGAAGTGTGTAATATTGAGAAGTAAGTTCTGCCCTTGCCTCATTCATACTTTCCCAAATTGGGGTGTGAATGGGGTGGTGCAAACCAAGGACACTGATTGATGAAAGAATTAATATCAGTGCTGATCTGGCAGAGGAAAACCAGTGGAGAGTCATAGCTCATTATCTGGAGCAAATAACTTCAAAGCAACCTGAGCAGTGACTGATGATGAAGTAACGGTGACAAGAAACACGCATTCTCACATGCTTTCACACTGCAGCAGTCTGGAGGCATTGCAGCTGAGCACTGCACTTCTGGCAGCATCCCTGCACATCTGTAACATTCATTGCGAAGAAGTAAACAGCATCAGTCAGCTGGAAAGAGCGCTTTCCTCAACCTCCTTAACCTCCTGCAGCAAATTTTTCCCAAGCTCAAAAGATAAAAAATGCTGGTGTGTATTTTCCTAGTATCTTGGAGTTGTCTGCAGCTGTATTCATTGTTATTTAATATGTTGGAGTGTTATGCTTAGTATGTTCGGCTTAATATGACCTGTTAATGTTTTGCTGACTAAAAAATAAAGTAGCGTGATAAATTCTCTGAAATTAGGTTGTCTGAGGAGGAGGGACAGAAAGATTCAGAAAAAGGGGAAGCCGTGCAGGACAGCATGTATTCAGCCCTCTTTTCAAAAGCTTCTTCCCCAAAATGAGAATTGTTGGAGAATGCCTCCCTCCCTCCCTCCCTCCCTCTGCAGATCTCTTCCTTCCTTGAACCAAACTACCGGCTCCAGCAACAAGGCAGCTAATAATAAAATCTCCAGCTGAACTCTAGGAAAGCAGTTTGGTCAAGGCTTTGCCTGCCAAGTGCTGACCAACACATGTTCCCAGTTGCCAGCAGTGACTCACCGCAAGCCGTGTTTTTTACAAACCTGTCGTGCTTTAGCCATCTCCCCCTTGGAGCATGTTTTGCTCCAAACAAGGGCTTCCTTTCCAAAAGATGGAGTCAAAGGCACTTGAGTCGTGGTCCTCCTACCACGTCTCATGTTAACGGGGCATAAAGGGACTATTCCAGTCACAATATATGAACACAATTGCTCTTACACCACGGCTCCTGAAACAAAAGCCCCACTGCTGCTGTTATTACTGCCCATTCCAGCAGGCTGTACACTCATGATGCAGGGATTTCTACAGCACCCGCCAGCAGACAGGACAGGACTCCTTTCAAAATGACCTTTTATCCAGAGTTTGTGTAACAAAACTTCATTCTTGCTTTGGGCTTCCCCTGTATTGCCTTCTCTTACCAACAAGGACACAGGGCCAAGAGGGAACACCAGTTGGGACAGGAGGCATAACATTTCCTATTGGTCAGGCAGGAGCTTGAACTACTTGGCTACATTTCAGCCCCAAGAACAACCTCAGCCGGAAATGCCGACCCAGCTGGCCAGTGGATTTGGAGTTTTTAAAAGATGTACATGTCACCTTCCCGAATGGAGAAGCCTGGTGCCAGGTGAAGCAGCCAGCGCTGCTGAAGGCACGTGGCTCCCAATCCCTCCCAAAGTTGCCCAGAGGCTGCCTGGAAATGCAGTGGGGACTGCACAAATGGGAACGCACCCAGTTGGGTTTTCTGAGGGAGGGGAAATAACTCCTTCGGAGGCCACAAAAGTATGAGCCCTTGTAGGCAAACCGCATGCATGCTGGTGCGGGGATGTATGGAAACTAGATCAGCCTAGCTCCTCCCTGTGCTGCCCCATGATGCTGGGAAAGATGAGGAAGAAGGTATGGGAGGAAGTCTGGACTTCTTGGATCAGGACACTACCGAATTACACAACTCTCACCAGTGCCAATGCTATGGCTTCATGATCCCATTTCCCCTTTAGCTGAGGCTCGTTTTCTGTACTGCAGATATCTGGGACACCTCCCTGGCCACAGCAATGCTATTTTCATGTGGGAGAAGGGGATTATGGTTGTTTGCTAAGGGTGGAACTACCCTGCCTCCTCCTTTGGTGGTGAAACCTCCTCCTCCTGTTGCTACCAAACTGCTGGCTCTCTCCTCCCTTCCCGCTGCCCCACCAAGCACAACAGCACAAGCATTTCTGGAAATGCTCAGATAAACCTTGCATTTCTAAGGGGAAAAATAACTCACATTGATAGCACCCCATTAGCTATGAGAAAGAAAGAAATGAAAGCAAGTTAACACACAAAAATCCCACCACGTCACAACAGTGCACTTACTACTGGGATAGTAAGGATAGCGGAGCAGCTGCTCCTTGCTAAAACCTTTCACAGTTCACTGCAAGAGCATGCTGACCAGGGATGGCTATGTAGTGGGCAACATGGAGGGAAGCTATTTTTACAGGTGTTAATGAATCCTAATATTTTTTACTCAGCTGAAGGCGACAGAAATGAACAGTTAACATTGATTCCCATTTCTCAAGATTTTTTTCTTTTTTGCTATTTAAGGGCCTGATCCAGAAAAAAAAAAAAAAAAAAAGAGCAGGAAAATTCAGCACCTCTGTAAGACTTCATATGTGAGGTCTTCCAAATATCTGCAGGGTGGGGGTGGAGTAGTTCAGGGGGCAGAAGAGGTCATGTGAATGTGATCCCCACCTCCCGAATGCCGCATCTCCGTATGCTGCCTCCCCCTGCTCCTTTTGTGATGGAGGGAATTGTTGACTTATTGTTTTATTTTTCATTTTCAGCCTGCCTTTCCTATCCCTTTGCCAAGTGGGGTTGTTGAAGGTGACTCTTGTTGCAGCCACTTTCTCAGGAGAGCAAAAATAAGGTGAACTTTTATCCTGATGGCTTACAATTGAAAAGGCAGGTAGCAGCTTGGATAATGAGCCCCTTTGCTGCTCCAAGACAGAGCTGGTGCTGTGGGAGCTCAGAGGCCACCGTGTAACCTCTCCATGGCTGCAGGGACAGGAGTCAGCCTGCCTCAGGTGAAGCTGTTGGCTGCAGAGACTGAAACGTTTCCCTGAGGGAAACAGAGCACAAGAGCCTTGAAAAGAGACTCGAAGGATGCTGACCCCTGCGCAGAGATGCATGGCACTGCCCGCTTCACATGAGAAAGCCATTTTCAGTGAATAAACATCAAAAAAAGGAAAGAAAGTGGAAAAAGGAAAGAAAGTGACCGACCTTGTTTTAATAATTTTTGACATCAGAATGCATTCATACCACATACTTTTACTCCTTTTTTGAGGAGAGTACACAGCATCTGTCCTGGCTCAGCTGGTAGTACAGCTTCTGTGAGTCGACAGGAGGTCCCACGCCACTGCTCCGAGGAAGACCTACAAACCCCGCAGCACTTCGGTCTGCAGGCCGAAGGAAAGCCCAGCTGGGCAGAGGACATGTAAGAGGTGTGGGCCCTTTTTTACACATTCATTTCTGTTCAGATGTGGACTTCATCTGCATAATGCTAACGATCAAACAATGAAGCCAACTACTTCTTGCTTCTGATCAGGGCTATTTCTGAAGTGCTATGTGTGCCAAGAATATAAACCAAGTCTAAAAATCACACCTTCCTCTGAGCAGTTATTGGACTGAAGTGGATAACGGGACCGTACCTTTATGTTTTGATGCTGCCAGCAAGGGAGGTTTTCACAGCAAGTGTCTGACTTACCCTAAGCGCTACGCAATAGTGAGAGCCAAAAGACCTGCTGCCACTTACCAAACCTCTTGTAGCCGAAGGACTGCACCTCCTCCTCCTCTGCAAAATCGTCTGGAGAAAGAAAGAAAGACACAGCAAGAGATAATTACTACCACCACTAGAAAAAGACAGGAAGAAGTTTTGATACTGCATGTTCATAAATTATCGTACTTGAAAGTTTAATCAATTTGTAAAGCATTTACTGATCTTCCCCTCCATTGCTCATATCCCACTTCTGTCCCTGGGTAGAAAAGGCAAATCAGAGCCTTTCCTCCAACCAGTATCCCCAGCGGACACCCAGACTACAAATGGTTTATCACCTCTCAGCCATCCTGAGGCCTGCTTGGCCACCTAAGTATAGACCAGTGCAGACATGTCCCTCATCATGATGACGGCCACAATTGTCACCAGCGTGCCACTTGGGCAGGCTTGCTCGGACCACGGCACTCCCTCCAGCTCGCTGCCTGCACTGTCCAGGCAGTCGGGCTCAGGCTATGCATGCTCCAGCTGGGCTGTTTGCACTAAGTGCTACACGTAGCTATGCCGAGTAATGAGAGAGGAGTCAGTGGGGATGGCTGTCTGTCCACCCACTACCTCCCACTACCTCCCACTGGTACTAGCTTGGCCTCAAGAGGCAAGATCCAATAAAAAATGGGAAACAGAACTGACAAACTCAAACAGATTAGAAAAATAAAAAACACGTAAGCCCTTTTTTTCCCATCTTCACCAGCTAGCAAGCAGGAAAATGCTAATAATCACAATTTTATTTTGTCAGAAGCACTTCCTTCCAGCAGCAAAGGAAAAGGCTGGCATCAGCAGAAGAAATACACCCACGACTTCTTTAAAAAAAAAAAGGATGTGTTTGTGTTCACGTGTTCAGCCTCCTTCTACCAACACAACCCCTCTTTCTGCTGAGTCAGGGAAGGCGAGAGCCCTGCCTTATCACCAGCACCAGCCTCTGCACCAGGCGTCCGACTGACAGGGCAGACAGCACAGCCCAGGCTGCCCATCTCCCGCTTCCCTATTTCCTGGGGGGAGCAGAGGAGACCCATTCGCCCTCCCACAAGTGCCACTGCACACAGGGGGAAGCCTCTGCAGGGCTCTCTTCAGAGAGGACCTCGCGCGTTTGCCATGTTTCTGAGCAGAATCCCGCTGGGGACCGATGTCAATCCCCGCTCTCCAAAACCTGGGTACTCTTGGGCTTTCACTTGCATCGCAGCGGCAGGGAGGAGACTCAGCACCCTGTGGAGCTTCAGCAGCTGCTCACCACCTTGTGCCACCCTTCCAGCACAGGATGCGAGGAAGATCACTCGCTTGCAACCTCTCCCTCCAGACCTTTCCCTGACATGTGGGTAGAAGGAAACAGGAGCTCAAAAGCCAGTCAAGGGATTCACCAGAAGGGTACATTTAACGAGCGGTGGTGGAAAAGCAAGCTCAAAGCAGAAAAACACACATGATGGAGCGAGAGGTCCGTGCTCAGTCAGACCTTTGTTGTCCACAGACTTACGGCACATGAACAGGCTGCTCTGCATCATGAGACTGCGCTAATTTCTGCCATGGCTAACTCGGGCCGCCACAGAGCCTTGGGGGGCTGAATTCAAAGGTGAAGTAAAGATACGGTCCTCATCAAAGGACTCAACAAAGCCTAAATCATTTGGGTGTATGTCCAGCAACAAATGTGACCTGCACCTCCTTCCGACCTGTGAGGTGCCACGCACAGAAGTCTGAGGGAGACGTTGCCTGAAGCAGCAAAGGAGTCCATGAAAGATTTTGCAGAATGTCACCCTTTACTCAGTACTTTTCATAAAATAGCTCAAACCTCATTTTCTTCTCCAGATAACGCAAATTTTGCTCAAAGCCAGAGGCGCTTCTGTCCATATCTTAAGCTAGACTCAAAATTCAGATGTCCATCTAAGAAATGGAAGAACTAGTAGACAGTCCCTTGGCTAAACAAACACATCCTGGTTTCAAAGGCAGAAAGAATCCTTTAAAAAAACCAACCCAACAAACCCTCACAATTGTATCAAATGTTATCTGAAGACAAGGTCACCCGACAAAACCTGACAAATACTAATAAACCATAAACAGTCAACAGCCAAGCTTCTCCTCCCAGCAGCGAGCTACTCAGGATAAATCGTCCCCTCTTGCAAAAAAGATAAAACACTGCACAAAAAAGATATCAGCTCCAGAGCCCTCAGCTTCCTGCCCTCTCCTGCTATCAGGGCTGTAACACAATCACCTCCTTTGTTTCTCAGGAGCGTAACCTGGCTTATCCGATCCATATCTGATGTGTGCAGCAGGGCCGTGTTTAAATCCTGCAGCTTCATCGTACACCACATCTCCAAGACCTTCCTCCCAGGCTGCCAGCCTCTTCCCTAGTCGTTTGGTTTCTCACGCTTAGCCCAATGGCATTGCGCTCTGGCCATGAATTTATAATCATATTTTTGTTTCTCTGAACTTTTTAATATTTGTAACATATATATGTCTTATATGCATCTATCATATATATTATATATATTTATATACACACTTCTATACTTGTAAAATATATATATGTACTTCTTAATATTTGCAACACTGCATGCTGTGCTTGCTAGGGATGATCTTTTTTTTAAGCTTTGAATACTTTATAATTATTCATTAATTTCCTAATGTTGAAGAGCGCTTGTAGCATTTGAATCAAAGACCTGGAGATGGGCAAGGACAGTTTTGTCAACCGGTGACCTGGGTCCCTACTCACTAAAATCTAAAGCACCAGATGAAACTTTTTTTAATACCTGTGAGTCGATCTAGCAACAGGCAGCAATGTGTTTTAGGGGAAGTCTATTAATATTATTTAACAGACTAAGCTCAGTGGTCTTTCAGTCACAACTGTTGCTAGGCACTTTTCTCAAATCATGCAAATATAATATTTTACAATATTAACTGAAATGTCACAAGTTTAAGGAAAATAAAGATGGGATGAATAAATGAATAAAACAAAGCTAGACTAAATGTTCAGAAATGAACAGCACTGCATCCTTTGGAAAAAGAGGCTAGGATGGGTTGAAAGTCCTACTTCAAAAGAAATCTGTGTTTGAAATATTAAAAATGAAGTTGACAAATAAGCCTACAAATTAAGTCCCATGACAAAGCCATGTGCCCCAGCCTGCATCCCCCACACCATTTGGGCAGCGTTGCGCTCACTGGAGGGGGCAGAAACTTGGCCGTCGGCTCCCTGTTCCAGTGCCGAAAATATTAAAGTTTTGTCACAAGTTTTGTCAAAATCTTACAGCTTTGTGGTATCTTTGCATCAGGGAAATACAAGAGAACCAAAGTTTTCATTGAAAAGTGAACAGCTTTTCTAGAGAAAATGATGAAAATGCGATCTGCGATGAATTACAGAGGTTAAGAAAATACACACCAAGTAGGAAAGCAAATAGTAGGAAAGCCTCCAGCATGTTTTTATGCCTCATGCTTTTAAAGGCAGTATCAGAAACTGGAGTGCAAGAAATTAATGAGTTTTGAGTACTGATGGCTGATATTACAGCAGGAAATTTTGCATTTTCACATCAGTGGTGCCCACACACTTGAGTGGGGCTGCAACTGGGGTAAGAGGGGTTTGTTTGACATCACGAAAGCCGTAAGTTTGAAACACTTTAGTTTAAATCCAACCCTTCTCGGTTACAAAGAGGACTGGAATGGATGCAATATTTCTGTTACATACATATACTGTTATATATAGGCAAGGCTTATTTTCCTGGGTGAAAATTATGAAGGGCAGACTCCTCCTTTGTACAGATAATAAAGCAGAATCCATTGTTATGTCCCAGCTGGAAGAATTAACTCTTTAGGGCTCGAAAGACCAGCCATAATGTAGCTACAAACTGGTCTACCAAACTGTCAGCTGTGAGCCGAAAGCTAGGGAATCCAGAATAAGAAAGACGAAGAGACATGAAAAGCTGGTTAAAATGTGATTTCTTAGTCCACTGACTTCTACTAAGCTCTGGCAGAAGGAAGGTCCATAAAAAAGGTGAACTTTGGGCAGAACAGAAACACATGTGAGCAACCAACTGTATTTAACGGCGCAGGGGAAGGACCACCGAAGATCTCCTGTTTCATCAAGTTTACAAGAGTCTCCTTGAAGGCTACAACAGTTTGTCATGAGGAGCTTACAGCAAACTGCTAAAAATGAGTGGCTCACTGTAGCTGAGTAGCAGTATATCAAATATTTTAGGGAGTCAGTACAAAGCAAGAGCTCTGGTCCAAAAAAAAAGGCTCTCAGATATTTTGGCAACATCCACACCCCACGGAGTACCAATGCCAAATTCTGCTTGCCCTCCAGTTATAAATTATAACTGCAACACCTCTAATAAATACAGTTGTAGAGTTATATAAGTTACAGTACAATGCTTCAAGGGAGTGGAAATTCTAAAAAGGCAGTTCAGCTGGGGATTAACACAGCAAACAGAGGGAATTCATTTAATCTAAAACAAATTAGACTCATTTGATTAATTTGCTAGAGGCAAAGCAAAAATCTGTGGAGTAGAACTGTGTAATTTCTAGTTCTTGTTCTTAAATCTTAAATAAATTAATCATGGACCACTTATGAGTCACTCTGAGGTCAAGTAAGAAAGAGTTGGCCCAGAGCCAAAAAGGATGCCAGATCTGCTCCGGGACTATATAGGGCCTATAATCACTGCACCGCTCGGTCCCTGCGCTGGAACAGCACCAGATCTGAGGAGCCTTTGGTGCAAGGTGATTTTAGGGAAATTGCTTCCATTTTCTCCCCTTCCTTTTGTGGGTCTCATTGCTGGCATAAGGAAGGTGTCACAGAAAGCTGCTAACGTACATGTCCAGCTCTCATCTTTAACAGTACACCCCGCTCAGCCTTTTAAACATAATTAACTAATGAAGCAAACTAGACCTCAGAACTGTAGAGATGCTGGGTTGCAGCACTTGACTGCAAAGAAGTGGTATCCAATCACTTCTAGGACTATTGTGTGCAGTAAACATGGGTTTAAAGCCTTTGTTTAAAGCCTTCAATTAAGAAAAGACACCAATATTCTATACTGCATTTCAAAATCCAGGGG